TCAAGATGGATTAAAGACTAAATGTACCTCTTTTTCCGGCTGGAACCTTAGAGGGTGTAGAAGAGAAGAAGAAGAAGGTTCCTGCTGGGCCAGAAACCCTTAAGAAAAAGAGAAGGAATTTCGCAGAGCTGAAGATTAAGCGCGTGAGAAAGAAGTTTGCCCAAAAGATGCTTCGAAAGGTGAGGAAGCTTATCTATGAAAAAGCGAAGCACTATCACAAGGAATATAGGCAGATGCACAGAACTGAAATTCGAATGGCAAGGATAGCAAGGAAAGCCAGCAACTTCTGTGTACCTGCAGAACCCAAATTGGCGTCTGTCATCAGGATCAGAGGTATCAATGGTGTGAGACCAAAGGTCCGAAAGGTGTTGCAGCTTCTTTGCCTTCGTCAAATCTTCAATGGAACTTTTGTGAAGCTCAACAAGGCTTCAATTAACATGCTGAGGATTGTAGAGCCATATATTGTATAGTGGCATACAAATCTCAAGTCAGTAAATGAACTAATCTACAAACGTGGTTATGGCAAAATCAAAAAGAATTGAATTGCTTTGACAGATGATGCTCTGATTGCTCTATCTATTGGAAAATATGGCATCATCTGCATGGAAGATCTGATTCATGAGATCTATACTGTTGGAAAACGGTTCAAAGAAGGAAATAACTTCCTGTGGCCCTTCAAATGATCTCCACGAATGAAGAAAAAGACCACCCATTTTGTAGAAGGTGGAGATGCTGGCCACAGGGAGGATCAGATCAACAGGCTTATTAGAAGAATGAACTAAGGTGTCTACCATGATTATTTTTCTAAGCTGGTCAGTTAATAAACAGTACCTGATCTCAACTGAAATGTATTGTTGTATTTGTGATTTCTTTTGTTGTTAGCCTGACTTTGTCTTCCCTTCACTATTGTGGCAAGTCTTGTGTGTGATAAAATTAAGCCAAATCAACAGCCCATTACATGCAAAATCAGGGTTTAGTTTGTGTGAAGTGCATCTCGGGTTTTTAAAAGGCTTTTCTCAGCTACTCTGGGTGCACAGCCTATGGGGTAGTCCTGCAAAAAATAAAAAATTAAAAAAAGGCTTTATGAAAGATCTTTACTTTTTATCTTTGAACTGTGCTGAGTGATTCAAAACGGGTTTATTCTAAGAAAGCCTATTTCACAAGTATTTGTACATGATTTGTAGGTAGGATAATATAACTTTGGTTTATGGAAAAAACTGAATTTAGTTCTAAAATTCATTTCTCAGGCCTTAGCTTGTTTATAAACTACCATGTAAATGGGTTGTTTTCCTCTTGCATTCCATTTTTGTGTTCTTGTTTCGCATCTTTTGCAATACTTTGTTACTAATAATTGTTCCATATTGTGGACATTATGAAGGAAATGAAATTTGTGCCCAGGGATGCAAATTATTTCTGAGCAGGTGAAATTAATGAGGAAAAACTTGAAAGGTTTTGGGTATTTTATAAATAGCATTCCTCTATATGTCATGTATTATCTCACTTAGACTAGTGAACAATGTAGGGTGTAACATGAAGTACATACAATAAAAGTAAAAATGTTTGTGGTCCTCAAAAAAAAAAAAAAAAAAAAAAAAAAGACTATGTAAAACCCAAAACTATAAAAACCCTAGAAGAAAATCTAGGCAATACATTCAGGACATGGCGCAGGCAAAGTTTTCATGACAAAAATGTCAAAAGCAATTTCCACAAAAGCAAAAATTGGCAAATGATATCTAATTAAACTAAAGAGCTTCTGGTGAACAGGCAACCTACAGAATGGGAGATATTTTCACAATCTATCCCTGTGACAAAGGCCTAATATCCAGAATCTACAAGGAACTTAAGCAAATTTACAAGAAAAAAATCAAACAACCCCATTAAAAAGTGGGCAAAGGACATGAACAGATAATTCTCAAAAGAAGACATTTATGTGGCCAACAAACATATGAAAAAAAAGCTCAATATCACTGATCATTAGAGAAATGCAAATCAAAACCACAATGAGATACCATCTCACACCAGTCAGAATGGCAATTATCAAAAAGTCAAGAAACAACAGATGCTGGCAAGGCTACAGAGAAATAGGAAAGCTTTGACACCGATGGTGGGAATGTACATTAACTCAACCATTGTGGAAGACAGTATGGGGATTCCTCAAAGACCTAGCACCAGAAATGCCATTTGACCCAGCAATCCCATTACTGGATATACACCCAAAGGAATATAAACGATTCCATTATAAAGATACATACACATGTACGTCCACTGCAGCACTACTTACAATAGCAAAGACAAGGAATCAACCCAAATGTCCATCAATGATAGACTGGTACATATACACCATGGAATACTATACAGTCATAAAAAGGAATGAGATCATGTCCTTTGCAGGGACACGGATGGAGCTGGAAGCCATCATCCTCATCAAACTAATGCAGGAACAGAAAACCAAATACCACATGTTCTCACTTATAAGTGGGGGCTGAACAATGTGAACACACAGACACAGGGAAGGGAACAACACAAACTGGCACCTTTTGAGGTGGGGCAGAGAGGGAGGGAGAGAATCAGGAAAAATAGCTAATGGATGCTGGGCTTAATACCTAGGTGACAGGTTGATGGATGCAGCAAATCACCATGGCACATTCTTACCTATGTAACAAACCTGCACATCCTGCACATGCACCTCAGAACTTAAAAGAATAAAAAAAAAAATTGGCAAAAGATTCAAACAGATAATTCATCAAATAAAAAAAAAGGTGGAAAATAAACACATGGCAAGATGCTCAATATTATTAAAGAAATAGAATTAAAATCACAATGCAATACCACCTCATATCTATCAGAATGTCTAAAAGTATTAAGACTGGCCATATAGCGTGTTGGTGAGGATGTGGAAGAACTGAAACTCATACAGTGCAGGTAGAAATGTTAATCACACAATATTTTTGGAAAAGAGTTGGTTGTTTCTTCAAAAGTTAAACATTACACCTGCCATATAATCCAGACATTCCACTCCTTAGTGCCTACTCAAGAGAAAGACAGCCTGTCTCTACACAAAATTGTACACAAATGTTCACAGCAACTGTATCTGTAATATCCTCAAACTGGAAACAACCAAATATCCATCATCAGATGAAAGGACAAACAAAATTGTGGCACGTCCAAACCACGGAAACACTACCCAGCAATAAAAAGGAATAAACTACTGATACATATCATAACATGGATAAAATGTAAAATAATCATGCTGAGTAAAATACACCAGACAGAAAAAGGATACATATTGTAGGATTCTACTTACATAACATACTAGAAAACACAAACTAATACATAATGAGAGAAAGCAGACTGGCAGTTGTCTGGAGACTAGAGGTGTGGCAGAAAGGCATTATGAAGGACACGAGGAAAATTATGGCAGTGATGGATGGACATGTTCTCTGTTCTGATGTGGTGATGGTTGTTGCACAGGGACATACATATGTTAAAATGTACCCAGTTGTACATAAATATGTTCAGTTTACGTGTCAGTTATACCCCAATAAAGCTGTTAAAAAATGGCATGCTTCCCTACGCCGGGCATGGGGGTTCATGCCTATAATCCCAATCCCAGCACTTTGGGAGGCTGAGACGGGTGGATTGCCTGAGCTCAGGAATTTGAAGCCACTCTGGGCAACATGGTGAAACCCCGTCTCTACTAAAACACAAAAAAATTAGCCTGGTGTGGTGGTGCACACTTGTAATCCCAGCTACTTGGGAGGCTGAGGCAGGAGAATTGCTTGAGCCTGGGAGGCAGAGGTTGCAGTGAGCCAAGATTGTGCCACTGCCCTCTAGCTTGGGCGACAGAGACTCCATCTTAAAAAAAAAAAAAAAAAAAAAGGCATGTTTCCCTAAAGGCGGTATCTTAGGAAAATATCTTTTACCTTTTAGTAGCTTAACTAACTGAACATACTATCTTCATTCATTCGCTCTTACTGGAGATTTTAAAATGTCATCTGAGTAGTGCTGACATAAATGTATTGTAACACTAGATACTTTATATCCAAAATCCTCATTCATCTACATTGATCAAAATTAACTAACAAGCTGACAAAGCTCCTCTTTGCACAAATACAACCCTAGTAAGTCATCAAACTAGAGAACCAAATCGGCCTTTTCTGTAATCACAATGAAATCCATTAATACCTGAATCAGAGGTAACGTCAAATGCTGTACATAAAAGATGTAAAAGAAAACCACAAAAGAATTAGAGCTATATGTACAGCAAATGAATTTATCCATGGAAATACATTTTAGAATTTACTGTGAACTTAATAGGTATATACTAAAAAGGACAAGTAACTTCTGAGCTGAAGGTAGAAGTTGAGGTTATATATAGTCATGTACTCATGAGTAATACAGAAAGCAGAATGTAAAATAAGAAATGTTCACATTCAATTAATTAATTAATTGGTTATTTTTGTTGAGATGGAGTCTTGCTCAGTCCCCCAGGCTACAGTGCAGTGGCATGATCTTGGCTCACTACAACCTCCGCCTCTTGGGTTCAAGTGATTCTCCTGCCTCAGCCTCTCGAATAGCTGGGGTTCCAGGCGCCCACCACCTTATCTGGCTAATTTTTCTATTTTTAGTAGAGACGGGGTTTCACCATGTTGGCTTGGGTGGTCTTGAACTCCTGACCTAAGATGATCTGCCTGCCTTGACCTCCCAAGGTGCTGGAATTACAGGCATGAGTCACTGCTCTGGCTTCAATTTAGATATTTCATAAACTAAGGCCTTATTAACAATTTCTGACAGAAGAAAAATGAAACCTCCCTTTTCTACATGATCTAAAAAAGGGGAGAGGAAAAAGAATGAAGTCAAGAGATGTGAACGATCATGCTCTCTGTTGACTCAATCACATTTGGAATTTATTTCAATGTATCAGTCAAATCCACTCTTATTACCCTGCCATTGCTAGGGAAAAACACCTAAACTCTGACAATTAAAAATAATACACTTACCATGAAAATTTTCCAAACACAGTAAATAGAGAAAAAGTAACCAAGAAAATTAAAATATTTCCCTTTGAAGGTTTTGGAGTATTCTATTCTCTCCTGGGGGAAAACAAACACAAAACATGGTTCTCAGCAAAATGTAAATTTATATTCAACACAAGTATTCTTCCCTCTATGAATCACTGTTCAGGCTAAGTAAAAAAACCATACACTGTAATAATAATAGTAGTTGCGACCAACATTTACTGATGCTTACTTTCAGCCAGGGACTGGGATAAACATCTTACATGCATTATCCACTTAATCTTCATAAAGACTCTTATGAGATATGTTCTATTATCTTAATTTTATAGATGAGAAAAACTGAGGCTTTGAGTGGTTAATACCTTGCTGAAATTCACAAAGCTGGTGAGCAGGCTCAGGTCTGTTTCCAAAGCCTATGTTAACCTCTGTCCTATATGGCTACTCCTATAAAGTTGTCCTCAAAAAGAATTAAAACAGTTTGCAATCTTTACTAACAGATTTTACATATTTAAATTATAGTTTATTTTAGGTGTACATAGGAAAGTTACTTCTTGCAGTTTTGACACTTATTGATCTGGATCCTTTAAAATAGGGCTAGGCCATCCATGGTAGATAGGTGTCTATTGCTCTTATATCATTAACTTATAAAGGAATAAAAGTAGCTACCATCTTCATACAAGGTCAGTAGGAGGTGGTATGTGTCACCTTCCTAAGTGTTGAAAAGCTTCTTCTGACTATCCCTACAATTGCTACTACAGAGGGTGTTCCATTAAGGATTTTGCTAGTGATAGGAGCAATCTCATGAAGAGTGAAGATCCCTCATCCCTAATGCTTCATGGCTGATATTAGAGCTGTGAGGTGTCTCTTGCTTGGCCACAGAAAACCTAAAAAGCCATTTAGTCTTGTTCTCTCTTTAATCATATTGGTAAAAACCACACTTCAGTTTCCTTGCTCTGTACCTTGGTAGCATACAGATCAGCTGTTTCCAGAAAAAGCTGCCTGCTTAGTTCTTCCAAAGCATCCACTTCCTGTTGAATAAGAGTAAGATCTGGCACAGAATGGGCATCAAGGTTTAAATCACATAGGAATTTCAAGAAATGGCAATAAGAAAACATACACTTCTGGTTTCTCCTATAGTGGACTCCAGGAATTGCCTGTATTCTCAATTTCCTGTTCCACAGTCAGCAGCGCTACTTCAGGGCAACTTGCCCCACCTCTGACACAGGTGTGTAAAAGCTTCTCCATCGAGTGCATCACCGCCAAACAATTACCCCTCAGTTTCTCTTAAGTCAGGCGGCTCAAACAGATGGTTTCATTTGCTCTTTATCTAGTTAGATTAAGCCAAATGTTACATTCAAGATTGTAAATGGTTACATAATAGTAACATCTACAATAAAGCCAGCTTTCTCCTACATTATCTGAATAACTATAATGTTTATATGCTATAAAAGGGAATGAATACTTTATACTGTGTTCTAATACAGGCTAGGATTTACAGACATTTTCATTTCAAACGTTATCTTCTCAAAACAATCCCATGAAAGAGGTGTTATCCGTTCTGCATAAAAGGAAAGTGAAGCTCAGAGAGTTAAATAACTTGCTCAAAGTCACACAGTTAATTGGTGGAGATGCAAAGCCAGATCCTTTTTTCCTCCGAATCCTGCTGTTTCCATTACACTGTGTTATTTTCCAAGAACTCAATCAGGTAGAGTTAATACTTTCCTGTTTGGAAAACAGGGGCTCAGGGAGGTTAAATAATCCTAATATCTTTGTTGACTCATCACTAACACAGCTCAAACCCGTATATTGGCTTTTATGGATTTTTAAGTAATAAAAACAGTAAATATAGCCCCTTCTAAAATAAAAGCATATAATTCAATCCAAATCCTCCCTCCTTTCTGTGATTTTTCCCACTATTACCCAATCAGTAAGTGCCCTTCAGTTCCTTTAGTGGCTATTACTGGCATGGTTCAGGCCACCAAACAACATGGTTTAGTTATATGCCTGTCTCTCCCATGATTAGAGGGTAAGCTCCTTGGGGAGAAAGGCTGTATTATCATTTTATTCCTTAGCACTCAGCCTGGAAATAGATAAGAAATAAATGTTTCTTGATTAAATAAATCTAAATCAATCCCTTTTCTTTCTCTTCCATAATCATCTTGCCTTTCTTTGATCTTATTCTTATTTTCATTTGACAGCAGGACATAAATCATAATTTACAGCAAGAATAGACATCGTTCTCTAATTGAGGCAAAAAAGGAATTTGTATTTCCCTGGGCCAGAGAAGCAAATAGGAGTATGCTACCTCATGCTTAGTTCCCCAAAGTTTTGACCTAACAGTGTCAGAGCTACACAGAAATGTGGTTACCTAATTTGGCAAGTAGTTCAACATCATAACCAGTCAGAAACGAACAATTTAGTAGTCTCTCAATCAAATCTCCTTGATTTTTATTTATTTTTCTTTTGAGACAGGGTCTAGCTCTGTTGCCCAGGCAACCTGAGGTGGTGTTATCTGGGCTCACGGCAACCTTAGCCTCCCAAGTTCAAGCAATCCTCCCATTTCTGCCTCCCGAGTAGTTGGGACTGCAGGCACCTGCCAGTAGGCCTGGGTAATTTTTGTATTTTTTGTAGAGATAGTGTTTTGCCATGTTGCCCAAGCTGGTCTTGAACTCCTGGGCTCAGGTGATCTGCCAACCTTGGCCTTGCAAAGTGCTGGGATTACAGGGATGAGCCACTGCACCCAGCCTCTCCTTGATTCTTGAAACCAAAGAGTCACTAGAGAAGGACAGGTAATTAAAATTTGTTTAGGAATGCTAATTACTTTAGAAATTGGCTTTTATGGGCCTGTGCCATGGCTCATGCCTATAATCCTAGCACTTTGGGAGGCTGAAGCGGGCGGATCACCTGAGGTCAGGAGTTTGAGACCAGCCTGACCAACATGGAGAAACCCCGTCTCTACTAACAACACAAAATTAGCCGGGCATGGTGGTGCATGCCTGTAATCCCAGCCACTCTGCAGGAGGCAGGAGAATCGCCTGAACCCAGGAGGCAAAGGTTGCAGTGAGCTGAGATTGCGTCGAGCCGAGATTGTGCCACTGCACTCCAGCCTGGGCAACAAGAGCAAAACTCCATAAATAGATAGACAGATAATGGGCCTTTACCATCCCATATACAAGCCATTTATTTTAGGTAGCCATTATGCTTTATGGTGGTTTTTCAGAGTTGAGAAATGTAATAGTGTAGCGGAAAGAACTATGAAGAGGAGACCACAGTTATGTTCCTAGCTTTGCCACAAACCACTGTGTGACTTAATCTCTCGGGGTCTATTTCTCAACTGTAAAATGGAGAGACTGACATTTTAGGACCGCTTCAGCTCAAAGACATAATTTTATGATCTTGTGTGGGTGTTGGAAAGATGACTGTACACATGGTACTTCCTAAGCCTAGCTCTCAGGAGTCTGGACTCTGATGCAGTCAGGTACCTTAGAAGGGACTATCCCAATACTACTTTTTTCGTTTGCTCTTGGTCCAGAGTTGAAAAAAGAATCAAGCAGAGGAACAAAGGATACTTTCACTTCCTGGTGCTGAAGTGGCAACACTTTTTATCATTCCCCAGAAACCTGATGGTTTGTTATACACCTCCCCCTTCTGGAACAATGTTCTCCGTGCCATTGCCATCCTGAAATGAAAGAAAATATAAAACCTCAGCAAGGAAGCATGGACCCTCACAGTCCAGTCCCATCCACTTTCCAGTCTCACAACTGCCTCTCTCATGTACTGAGCTGTTCATGGAAGGATATTGATTCTGGAGTCCTACATTTTTTTTTTTTTTAATGAGAAGGAGTTTCGCTCTTGTTGCCCCGGCTGGAGTGAGATGGTGCAGTCGATCTTGGCTCACTGCAACTTCTGCCTCCCTGGTTCAGGCAATTCTCCTGCTTCAGCCTCCTGAGTAGCTGGGATTACAGGCATGCACCACCATGCCCAGCTAATTTTTTGTATTTTTAGTAGAGACAGAGTTTCACCATGTTGGCCAGGCTGGTCTTGAACGCCCGACCTCAGGTGATCTACCCGCCTGGGCCTCCCAAAGTGCTGGGATTACAGGCGTGAGCCACTGCGCCCAGCCTGGAGTCCTACTCTTCCACTACTTACAACTAGAAGCAATGTGACCTGGGTGAAGAAGGATAGAATTTGGGCTAGGCAATAAATTTGAGGACTGGTTCTGCCACTTGGAAGCTGGGAGGTCTTAAGAGTTTTCATCTTCTCATCTCTGGATGGTTGTGAAGATAAATAAAATAATAAATATGAATTCACGTTGTCAACTACAAAGTGCTACGCATATTTTAATTACTACAGCTACCATTGAAAGGCAAAATAAAACAGCTGACATACCTAAGGGACCAGTTACACAGTTAGGAACTCAATATATGTTTTCTACTTTCTTTTTCAAAGGCAGATAAAAGGAAAAAAAATAGCAAAATTGCATAATCTTGTCCCCTTCTAAAATATTAGTCTCTAAGTCCAATACCCTCACCTTCTGTAATCTGTCCTGCGACTGAATAAATCAACAGGAAACCTATCACTCCTTCCTCTTGTCCTCTCAGTCTGTGGAGGACTGACTAGCACAGTGGTAGCTGCCGGCATGTCCCAGCCCACCACAAAGGTATTAACAGGGTCCCCATGAGGTTAAAAAAAATATCATTTGTACATAAATGATTACTTAAAGGGTTTAATGGGCCAAGGCCTACAGGCATAAAATGAACTAGGATGAGTCTTTTTTTAAATTTTTTATTTTTATTCTATTTGCCAACCCACTGAACATTTTTTTTTTTTTTTTTTTCAGAGATGGGGTTTCACCATGTTGGCCAGGATGGTCTCGATCTCCTGACCTTGTGATCCACCCGCCTCGACCTCCCAAAGTAGAATGAGTCTAATAAAAATAGAATAGCAGGACCAAAGAAAAATATAACTCAAGGTGGATATTTTTGGGAGGCAGGAGACAAAAATGGTGACGAGCAAGAAGCAGCACTGGTATTTATGCCTGGGACTAATACAAATAGTACCAATGATACCAAAGACCAAATGATATTTCTATGGGTGAAATTCTTTGAGCCGCTAGCTAAAATGATATTAACAAGAAAGAATGTCAGCCATGTTGACTTTACTGTTTCCTTTTGAAAATGACCTTTGCCTGGATAGTGAGTGAATGAAGCATAGCTTTTAGCTCTTTCTGCCTTTCTCCTAACTATACATCTCCTATCACTCACCATTTTGGGAAGATGTAATAAACAACCAAGAAGAGGCTCAGACCTGGGGAGATTCTGACTTGTAAGATTAAGGTTTAGTAATTCTAGGTTTTTACATTTTCATAGTTGAAAAAGCTAGAACACATACAGAAAGAAGGCAAGGGTTCTATTCCACTCATTTAATAGTTCATTTCAGCTTAACATGCTGGATTAAAGGAGGCAGTTGGGAGAGATGAGGTACAGAGCTCTGTTCTATTGTTCTTATTTTCAGCATCTATAATACAACAAACACTAATGACTGGCTGTGGGGTGAAATCGATTGAATATGTAAAGGTGATTGACACTGTGCTGTGGTCTCATAATAGACGAAGAAGTGAAATCACTAGAAGTGAAAGCTGGCTGCACATAGATAAGCATGGCCTTGTTGTAAACAATTCACTTTTACTTTCAATTGTATTAAGAATCTATTAATTCTAAACCAATTTTGCTTCATCAAATAAGTTGTAGATGAAAAAGAAATGATCATATATTTAAGAAGGTAACAATATTAAACCTTCTGAAATGTGAAAAGGAATTTAAACCCCCCCAACAATATGAGGTACTATAGAACTAGCTCACCTTCCATCTTCAACTTTGCTATGATCATCACTATTGCCTCTTTATAACAGGGGTAGCTCAACAAGAAATTTTCTATTTGCTATTAGCCCAGTGTCATTTAAAAGTTCCTAATATGGAAAAACATATGCATTTGGCTGAGGTTTGGTGGCAGTATACAAGGGAAGCAGCTAAAAAAATGTCACTGTGGTTTAAAGGTCAGTCTATGTTTTCTGGTCTCTGCTGTTTCTAGTAGGAAGTCAATCACTCCTTTTTTAAAACTTTTCAAAATAATTGTAGATTCATAAGTAGTTTTAAGAAAAAATACAGAGATTCCATGTACTTTACCCAGATTTCCCCAACTGAAACATCTTGCAAAACTATAGTACAAGCAGGATACTGCCATTGACAGAGTCACAATACAGGACATTTCCATCACTACAAGGATCCTTCAGACTGCACCTGTACAGCTTACCTCCCTCCCACCTCCAACTCCTTAACTCTGGCAACCACTAATCTGTTCTCCATTTCTATAATTGTGTCATTTCAAAAATGTATCTATAACTTGGAGGAGGACGGGGGCAGCAAAAAAATGTATATATAACTTGAACAATACAGTATATATTCTTTGGGAATTATTTTTTCACTCAGCATAATTTTCTAGAGATTCATCCAGGTCGTTGTGTGTATCAATAGCTTGTTCATTTTTCCTGCTAAGTAGTATTCCATGACACAAGTGTACCACAGTTTGTTTAACCATTCACCCATTGAAGGATATCTCACTTATTTCTAGTTTTGGGCTACTAAGAATAAAGTTGCTACAAACATTCAAGTACAGTTTTTTGTGTGAACACAAATCTTCATTTTTTTTGGAAAAACGTCCAGGAGTGCAATTGTTGGGGTGTGGTAACTGTATGCTTCGTTTTTAAATAAAGACCTAAACTGTGTTCCCAAGGGACTGTACCATTCTACCCGGATGCCAGCACTGTACGAGTGATCAGTTGCTCAGCATCCTTACTAGTATTTGGTGTTGTCACTAATTTTTATTTCAGCTATTTTGATAGGTGTGTAGTGATATCTCATGTGGTTTTAATGGCATGTACATAATGGCTAACACCACTGAACACCACTTCATGTGCTTATGTGTCATTTTTATGTCCTCTACAATAAAAAGTTCATCCTTTTTTGCCTATTTTCTGACTGCACTTTTTCTTTTTAAACATAAGCTTTGAACATTTTTTATTCTAGACACTAGTGCTTTCTCAAATAAGTGGTTTGCAAATATTTTCTCCCAGTTGGTAGCTTGTCTTTTGATCCTCTTAACAGTCTTTTACTGAGCAAAAGGGTTAAATTTTGATGAAGCCCAATTTATCAGTTCTTCCTTTCATGGATTGTACTTTTGGTACTAAGTAAAGAACTTTTTGCCTAGCCCAATTCCAAAGATTCTTTCCTTTTTTTTTTTTTTTCTAAAAAGTTTTATAGTTTTACATTTTCAAACTATAAACTACATTTATAGTTTTACATTTTAGTCTATTATCTGTTTTAATTTTATGTAAGGTGTAAGTAAAACTTAGATTTAAATTCATGTTTTTAACCTATGGATGCCTAATTGCTCTAGCACCATTTGGTGAAAGGCTTTCTTTCCTTCACTGAACTGCTTTTATATCTTTGTCAAAAATTAGCTGGGTGTATTTGTGTATTTTTTTTGAGACAGCGTCTTGTTCTGTCGCCCAGTGGGGAATGCAGTGGTGTCATCTTGGTTTACTGCAACCTCGGCCTCCTTGGTTCAAGCAATTCTCCTATCTCAGCCTCCCAAGTAGCTGGGACTACAGGCACACACCACCATGTCCGGCTAATTTTGTATTTTTAGTAGAGATGAGGTTTTGCCATATTGGTCAGTCTGGTCTCAAACTCCTGACCTCAGGTGATCCACCCACCTCAGCCTCCCAAAGTGCTGAGATTACAGGCGTGAGCCACTGTGCCTGGCCATGTGTTAGTATTTCTGGGTTCTCTTTTCTGTTTCACTGATCTATGTCTGCCATTACCACAGTCTTGATTACTGTAGCTATGTAATACATTTTATGATCAGGTAGACGAATTTTTCTCATATTGTTCTTTTTCAAAATTATATTAGCTATTCTAGTTATTTTGCCTTTCTGTACAAATTTTAGAATCATTTTGTGTATATCTACAAATAAATCTTACTGGGATTTTGAAATGAATAAATTTATATATCAATTTGGGGAGAATTAATATCATTACTATGTTGAGTCTTCCAATCCATAAATATTGTATGTCTATTTATTTGTATCTTCTTTTTCTTCATTAGTTTTATAATTTTCAGTTACAAGTCCTATACATGTTTTATTAGACTTCCACGTAACTATTTCATTTTTTGAGTGACTGTAAATAATATATTTAAACATTTGATGTCCATATGTCTGTTGCTAGTTTATAGAAATACAATTGGTTTTTTAAAAATTTGATTTTAGAGTTGGGGCCTTGTTATGCTGCTCTCAGGCTGCATTCAAATTCCTGGGCCCAAACAATCCTCTCGCTTTAGCCTCCTGAGTAGCTGGTCAGGCGCACGTACCACTGCTCCTGGCTACAATTGATTTTTGTCTGTTTATTTTGTATTCTACAATGTTGTTGAATAACCATTACTTTTTTTCCATTGTTGCCCTATATGTATCATTTTCCTCTTCCTGCTTTCAAGATTTCCTCTTTGACTTTTAGCAGTTTAACTGTATGTATACATAGGTGTAGTTTTCTTATGTTTTGGGCTGGCATTTCTTTTTCGCCTTTCCTTTTCTTCTAGGACTCCAACCAAAAGAATGCCGGA